AACTCCAGAAACAAAAGAGATAGGCCCAACACCAGGGCATACATCAAAGAAATGGAAGCAGATCAAGAAATAATCGATGAGTCCACGAATGCAATATCGAGAGAATCTGAAGAATGCACTACAGACGACGAATAATAGATGAAACTGATGACCAAGAAGAAAACAAAATAGAAAACAACGAACTCAGGTCAGAGATACTAAAACTCTTAAAAAGCCAAAAGAATGATGAAAACCTCATCGCGAACCTCCAAGACATATTAAAAAACAACGGAGCAGCGAGAGAGAAGCACATCGTTCCGGATAAATTTAAAGATTCAAAAACGGTGAGCGATCTGCCTGCAGGCAAAAATACAGCAAAGAAGAAAACTAACAGTCCCGTGCAAAATTTCGAATGGCAGCCATCTTGTTTTCAACAGACCCCTAAGATGAGCGAAGCAGAGCCAATCAGAAAGCGGGATTCAAAATATCTGGCGCGAAAAGCCTTACTCGATGCAAGAAATGAAAGAGAGAAAATTTACACCTCAGAAGAATCAGACACAGAGATCGAAGAAGCTTCAATAGATATGCGAGTAAAGTCAGCAATGAAAACGCTCTTTGCAGCATTTGGACCAAAATTGAAAATCACTAAAGAATCAATGAAAAGACAAGCAAGCAAGCGAACGCCTCAAAATCTACCCACTTCTATCCAAACGACGAGAGCACCGACGCCTGAACCCAGAGAGCCCTGCAGATACCACCCCACGCCTCAGACGATCCCAAGGACCAGCGTTCCCAACGAAAGAAAGCGAGCGCCCGCTATCACCAGGACTCCCAAGATCGAGCCGGATACCGATTCCTCGGAAGAAGAACAATGCGAGGGAGCTGCAGCAGCGAGAACCTCTCACGACGGCTTCAGAAACAAAATGAACAACGCGCATGTGCAAGACTACGCAGACAGCTTCGTAAGACATGAGGAACGGAGAGAACCATTCAGACTCGTTGCAAGCATCCCCACGCCGTTTTGCAACTTTCAACATTTACAAGATCACGGACTACCTCCAGTTGTAAGTAATGGATCCAACAATATTGGGAATCTGCCCAATGACTTCCCAAAACTGAGAATAGATGGTATTAATTTGCAAGAATGGTGTCAGCAGCTCCAGGTTGTCTTTCTAAAAGAAAACTTACTGTTTTTTATTACTAACCCCCAAAAAGACCTTGGACTCTAAAATTGGACTGCCTACACCATAGAGCATTTTTCTTATTAATTTCTAGTATATCTCCTGCCATGTATCACAGTATTAAGCAAAATCTGACTGTCTCAGAAATTATTCAATGCATGTTTAAATTGTTTCACAGTGAAAGTGTAGCTACTACTACAAGGATGTCTAAAGATTTCTTCTCATCTAGGATAAAGCCAGGGGTTACCATAAGTGAACATTTAATATCTTTAAACAAAATTAGAGCAGAACTGCATTTAAGGGGGGAGATAATTTCAGATCAAACAATGAAAAGTGTTATCATTAACTCACTAGACCCATCGTGGGATAATTATATATCACATTTAGACACAATCAATTTAGGATATTTATCCATAGAAAATCTATCTAATAAGCTAATAGCTGAAGACAATTCTAGGAGGAGTCGTTGTAACAATCACATGGAACATAAACAATATAAGAAGGTAGCATTTCAAGAAAGATATCATGAACCAATTGGATGCCACAACTGTGGATCCAAGGAACATAATAGGAGGGATTGTCCTAAACTCCTAAGAGAAAGACAAAGATCAGAATATAGAAATAGATATCACAACAGACAGTCATCCATTGATAGACATAGATATAGAAGTCCACCCAACTATAGGGAACATAGAGGGGGCAGAGATAATTTGAAGGATAGAAGGTCTGGTTCACTGAATGGGTTAAACAAACATGACAATACTATCATACAACAACCAGAGAACAACGATTGGCTTATTGATTCTGGAGCAACTAATCACACTACAAATAATAAAAATATATTATCTTCATTTGTAGAAGATAAATTTGTAATTAAAGTAGCTAATCAAGAAAAAGTTCAAGTCATAGGTAGAGGGAATATAACCTTACCTGGCCTAGGAAAAATAGAGGGGGTATTGTTAATACCTGAAATACCGCATAACATACTTAGTGCAATAAAACTAAGCAGAGATTCTGACATAAATATTGTGTTCTCAAAAGGAAGAACAACATTAGAGAAAAACAGAATAAGTATAGGTACTGTGATTATCAAAGGAGGTCTACCTTATTTAATGACAAAGGAGAGATGGTTACACAACATTGATTCCAATATGGAAGATAACAATGACATAGATAATGGAGGCAATAGTAGTAGTGACTATGAGGAACATGAGGTAATTCATAATCACAAAGACACACCCAATGAAAAAAAACCTAAAATAGGTAAACCAATTCATGATGAGTGTGCTCATGTCTTACATAGGAAATTAGGACATGCCAGTTTTCCTGTAGTACAAAAGATGACTGAACATGCTGAAGGTGTTAAAATAAAAAATTGTGAAAACTATTTGGAATGCTCAGTATGTAAATCTACAAAACTCAAAACTAGTCCCAAACCCAGAAAGTCAACAAGATCAACCAACAAAATTTTTGATTTGGTACACATGGATCTAGTTGGTCCATTAACGCCATCAATCACATATAGAAAACGTTATTTTCTAACCATTGTGGATGACTATAGTCGTTATGGGTTTGTTTATACATTAAAACACAAAGATGAAACTTTTCAGAAATTTAAGGAATTTTACAAACGTGTAGGAACACAACATAATATTAAAATAAAACAAATCATGACAGATAGGGGATATGAATTCATGTCAAAGGAATTCTCCCAATGGCTAAAAGACAAAGGAATGTTACATTACACATCTAGCCCCTTCTCTGCATTCCAAAATGGAGTGGTAGAGAGAAAGAACTCAACATTACAAACCATGATTAGATGCACATTAGAGGATGCTGGCTTAGGTAAACAATTCTGGTCAGAAGCTTTACAATATTCCAATTATACACAAAATAGAACTTGGTCCAGCATAGTAAACAAGACACCATATGAAGTAATATATAATAGGAAACCAAAAATAGCACACATGCACATATTTGGAGTCACTGCAGACGTACACATACCTAAGCAATTGAGACGCAAAGGTGAGAACGTATCCAGAAGACTTAGGTTAATGGGATACGAAACAGGCACAAAAGGATACAGATTTATCGATAGTAATAACAAATTTATAGTTTCCAGAACGGCTGTGTTCCATGAGCAGGCCAACTGGTCTAAAATACATCTTAATGAAATATTCCCAAATACCAATCCAGACACTAAACCTCAAGAAAAAAGGACTAGAGAAGAATATAATCACAACACACATAAAAATAAAATCAAAACATGGACAAACAGTCAACACAAAATAAAGACAGATTCATTAACTAAAAAGGAAGCAAGGTATTTACATGACAATGATAGTAAACCAGAAAGAACGATCAGAAGTAACAGAAATCAAGTGCCAAACAAATACAAAGATTATGTAATGTATATGGATGGAGAAACATCAACACCTAACACATATGAGGAAGTGTTAAAGCTTCCCCCTGAAGAAAAGAAAAAGTGGGAATCAGCCATGACTAAAGAGATGGATAGTTTACGAGAACTAAATGTATTCACACCTACACCTGCACCAAAGGACAAAACTATTATTGGCACTAGGTGGATATATAAAATTAAAAACTTAGAGGGAGGCAACACCTTATACAAAGCTAGACTAGTTGCACAAGGCTATGCACAAAAATATCCCGAGGATTATACAGACACATACTCTCCCACAGTAAGAACCGAGAGTGTTAAGACAGCTCTGGTTATAGCATCAGCACTCAACCTTGATGTATTCCAATACGACATACAGACTGCATATCTACACACAAAATTAGATAAAGAAATATATGTAAGAGCACCTCATAGTCAATACTCAAACAAAAATGAAACTTGGTTACTAAACAAAAGTTTATACGGGTTGAAACAATCTGGTAAACGATGGTATGAATGTTTAGTAAAAGTACTCAAAACTATGAATTTCAATGCTACTGCTGCTGATAACTGTTTCTTTGTCAAAAAAGAGGGTGATTCTCTAGAATTTGTATTAATTTATGTGGATGATATTTTGTATATAGGTAAACATAAAGAGAGGAGAGAGACATTTGTAACAAAACTAAACGAACATTTCTCTTTGAAATCATTAGGTAAGGTAAATAAGTATCTTGGAGTTCAAATCAGTAAAACAAAAAGGGGATTCAAACTTTCTCAAAGAGACAAAATCATAGAACTTCTAAATAAATGTAATTTAAGTAATGCTAAGTCATACGACACTCCCATGCAAACTGATTTTTTGAAGAACACAGACGAGTCATCCCCTGAATTTAAAGATAATACGCTTTACAGATCAGTCATAGGTTCCCTTCTATATATTTCCAATGATATTGCTTTGCCTCTCAACTTATTGTCTAGACACGTCAGCAAACCGTTACTATATCATTGGGAAGCTGTCAAAAGAATATTAAGATATTTAAAGAATAGTTTAGACTTCTGCTTGCTATTGGAACCTAATAATGTCAAAGAGCCCATCCTCACATGTTATGCCGATGCGGATTGGGCTGGCGATACCACATGTAGAAAAAGCACATCTGGTTATATATTTTTCCTTAACGATTGTCCAGTTTACTGGTATACCGGTAAACAAGATTTAGTAGCCACCTCAACGACTGAGGCTGAATATGTTTGTCTGTCTAAGGCCTCAAATAACCTTATATGGTTTAATGACTTACTATCAGACACTTGGAAGAAACCCACTTTACCATTTATCATGCATGAAGATAACAAGGCTGCTATTGAAATATCTAGATCTGATGCTATTGGACAAAGGTCCAGACATATAGATATAAAATTCAAACATGTGAGACAGTTATCTCAGGATGGATTTATTAAAGCAGTTCATTGCGAAACATCAGAGCAAATAGCTGACATATTAACAAAGCCTTTGCCTTCTAAGCAGCATAAATACTTGACTTCTAAGTTACAAGTTTTATATTGTTCTGAATCTGAATGTAATTGTTGTAATATATCGAATCGGCATTTAGAGGGGGATTTGTCACAAGTAAATGTCTTATTCTTCATTATGTAAATAGTACATGATCAGGGTATCAGGGGTTAACTTATTCTTCATTACTTAATGTATTCATATTTCACCACTCCCATATCTAGCTCCACCCATTGTATATATAAGGAGCTGTATGCATTCCTTCTGTGCTTCTATCTGTGATTATTCAGTGAATATAGAATGCCTTCTGTAAATAAACAGTGTTTTATTTGAACTTCTAATTCTCAACTTATTTATTGAGTCTGATCCTGAAAATATCGTAACAGCACAGAATTCTTCTCTAACCCTACGTGGTTCTACATTAAATCAAACAAAAATGGAACAGAATTGTCATAGAATTATAAGGTGGGAAAAGGCACTGGAAGCCTTCTAGATTAGAAAGGAGAGAAGCATGAAGGAGGGAAAAAAAGAAAGGTATTACAACAGGCACTATAAATGGAATTAGATACTTTAGGGCCAATTATAACTGCACATCACTGATGTAATGTAGCCTTCACAGGAATCTCTGACTTAGTAAGAGTCTGAAAAATGCTGAGAATATCTCAGCCATCTGACTAATAAGCTGATTATGCCACTGAATAGATCTCAGTAATCAAATATAGCGTAGATACTGAGATGGATTTGAAAACTAAGTTGCCATGCTTTTTTTCTTCTTCTCGTGCTGCTGAAAATGAACAAATGTAGTCCTTTTTTTCATTAGTGAAGATATTAAATATGAAAATCATTATCATCATCACCCACATAGGAAAGAAAACACAGGAAAATATTATTACCAAAGCAGGATTTGCAATAAAGCAGGAATTACAAAATGCAGGCCTTTATCATCAAGTCGCAGTAACAACTAAAGAGGTACTGGATCCTTTTTGGGAACAGTCTGTTTGCACAATGTATAATCATATAAGTTTTCTTGAGAAAAATAATTACCTGATTTGTTTGTGTCCCAAAGCACACAAATATTCTTACTAATATTACTTGTTCGCACTAGTGTTGATGCCATGCTATTATCACATTTTCCCTCCCTGCTGTTAAAGCATGTTATATAAGAGAAATGAGGCTGAAGAAAAGGAGCAGTGTTTCAGGCTATGAGCCCTTGTTGGCAGAGATACTGTTTGATCTATCAGCAACTTTTAAAGTTCTATGTGGCATCTGCAGACTGAATTCTCCGCTTGTCCTTGTTTCAATACGTTCTTCTGACTTTGCTCAGGGGAAGGAGCTGGCCGAATCAGTCTGCAGTAAATCATAAAATTCCATTAAATGCCCATAATAATGTGCAGTGTCTAATCATATTAGAAGATCATTTTTAAGTTCATAGGAAGGGATACATGTCTTGACACAATTTACTTCAGAGATTCATTTTTTAAAAAAACAGCTTTTCAAAAAATATTCAATCCGCAAAATAAATCTGTAGGTGTAAAGGCAATCCAACACAAAGTTCAATAACCCCTTGTTATCAAGAACTCAGAATCAATTGAATTCAGTTTATCCCCATGAAAATGATTGTATGTGCTAAGCTATCCAATTGACAAAAATGGCTGCACACTCCCAATTTTCACTGTTATCTGGATTGAAACAGATTCCATCATAGAGATTGAGAAATTATACTTTCTAATTTAACAAATGTAAATTACTAAATTTGGTTTCGATATGGCACAGTAAAAACTACATATAAAGAACTGTGTGGTATTGGGGGCAGCATTTAAGTATGTCATGAAAATGCAGCTAATGTATCCAAATATAAAGTGGCATTTACTTGCTTGCTATGTGAGCAATGGCATCCATAACATATAATGATAATACAAAAATAATTTTAGGTACACAATGATATCTTCATGTAATGCTGAAGTTTCTTACTTGTTCCCCAGTTCTTGCGAACCGGTAGTGGAAATTTTAGAAGCGGAAGTAGATAGGAGAACCAGTAAATACCACCTCTGCCTGGGCCCGCCCCCAATCTATTTGCTGCCTCCCGAGTCCCAGTTGATTGGCTAGAAGGAAAAAAATTGTTTAAACTCTTGCTGAGGGGCTTCAAAGGGCTGCCCTACAGCTGATCAGTGGTAAAAGGCAGTGTGGTGGTAGACCAGTGCGCTCCAAGAACAAATGGATAGACCGGTACAGCTCTACAAGCAATTAAAAGTCTGGTAGACCATTACCTCTGCTAAATCCTAAAGAATTGTCACATGGCCATCAAACCATGCCCACAAAATAAGCCACGTCCACAGAACCAGTAGTAAAAAAATTTAGAACCCACCCCTGCATCATTTATCTACCAAGTCCCCCCCTCCATCCCCAATACTGACATGTGTAAGTTGCAGATAACTTGTCCTTTATGATTTCTGATTCATAATTTATGGTTTACCAGAATGTATAAACCTATTAATTTGTTATTTATTCAATAAAGTACACTTGAATAAATAACATTTAGAATAGTAGGAACTTTAGATAGGCTGGAGGATAATATCACATATTTCAAATAGGCATGTTGTTACTGAAGGAAAGATCTCCTAGGCAGGACGTTGAAATCCAAAATTTTATATATGGAATAAAAATGTTTCTGAGTCCAAGAGCAGCAACAAAGGAGCCTAAAGATGATTCGAAGAATTAAAAAAAAATGTTGCTCTTAAGCAGAAGTTTAAACCCTGGAGTCGTGTAATTCTACATATGCCTGGATGAACAAGTAAGTTTTTGATTTGTCAATCAAAACTTATCACCATATAAATCCAGGAGGCAGTGCACTTATTGTAGTGCTCTCTCTGAAAAAGCCCTATTCCTACCAACGCTCTATGAACTTGTGGGACAATGGTTCTTAATTCTACTTAGTGAAAAAGTTTGGATATAATTAAATATAGTAGAATTGTTTATATTGCCACCTATGTAACAGGTTCTCTTTTCTCTTCACTATAATAATAATCATTCAGTAGCTAATTTATAAAGCTACATATGGAACTTTTCTTATATGGGGTTATGGAGGCTTTCCATAAAGATATGCTTATAATGGGAATGCATTGTTCCTGGTCTATACTCTGGATCCTTTATTTCAATATCTACCTTTCCTCATTTACTGACTATAATCTGCCTCAATAAGCAGGTTGTTAAGCAAAATGACTGCTAAGTGAATATGTGACACAGAGAGAGAGAGAGAGAGAGAGAGAGAGAGAAAGAGAGAAAGACTGAGTGAGAGAGAGAGCATAGTGAAGACATACTGTTTAGCTGATGGACTTGAAGCATGTCAAGCCAATTTGGTCTTGTTAAACAGATAATCAGCAATGGAAACAGAAAGTCCCACAAATATCCTCTCCTATACGTCATGTATACTGAAATGGACATTGCAGGTTGAGACTTTAACAAGTCGTTAGTGCAGGCAGACCTGTTCTTTTCTTTTCTTTTTTCCTAGTCTTTATGATTTCTCCATGTATGGTTTTATTCTACTGTTCAGCATTTTTCATGTAGAAACATTTCAGTCAATCATTAATTCCTCATTTCCATATGAGGAATTAGAACAAGGACTGTAAAGTGCAGAGGTGATGGATAGAAGCATAAAATGGATTGATTTTATGGCTAAGTTGGACAAAATTATCATACATTTGATTATTTATGTTGCCACTTACCATTAGTATCACTTTATCATGGAAAATATTTGACTCTATCTGAGAATATTGTTGGGTTTCAGGATTAAAAATTGCCAATAAGCATTTGATTTAAATGCTCAGAATTTAGTAGTTTAGCAAACAAATTAGTAGTTGCTAAATCACATTGATTTCTGGGCAAACTGCTTTTCAAAGCAAACATTTTTCTTTCTCATATATTTTCTATTCTTTAGCTGTGATGCATTCCACTATATCAGTCCCATGAAAAGTTTGGGACATTCTCCATATTTACAGGTTATGATGGAGTGTTTCTAGTAATCAATATTGTTGCAATATTTTCAGGATCAGACTCAATAAAAAATAATAGGAGTTAGAGCTTTAAATATATTTCTTTTTAATTATGATAGGCATTCTATATTCACTGAATATTCAAGGTAGAAGCAGCAAGAATGGTGAGGGTGGCTCCTTATATATACAAGGGGTGGAGCTAGGAATGGGAGTGGTAAGTTATGAATACATTAAAGTCCAAAGAATAAGTTAACCTCTGATGTTCCATATATACATTATTTACACATTGGAGAATAAGGCATTTACATCTGACAAATCCCCCTCTAAATGCCGGTTCGTTACACAACACCAATTACATTCTGATTCAGGACAATATAATACATATAATTTAGAAGTTAAATATTTGTGTTGCTTAGAAGGTAAGGGTTTTGTTAATATGTCAGCTAATTGTTCAGAAGTATCGCAATGTATTGCTTTAATGAATCCGTCTTGAGACAGTTGTCTCACATGCTTAAACTTTATATCAATATGCCTGGACCTTTGTCCAATTGCATCGGATCTGGATATTTCAATGGCCGCTTTATTGTCTTCATGCATAATAAATGGTAAAGTGGGTTTCTTCCAAACATCAGTGATCAGATCATTGAACCATACAAGGTTATTTGCAGCCTTGGACAAACAAACATATTCCGCTTCTGTAGTAGAAGTGGCTACTAGTTCTTGTTTACCAGTATACCAGTAAACTGGACAATCATTCAATAGAAAAACATAACCAGAAGTACTCTTTCTGCATGATGTATCACCAGCCCAATCTGCATCAGCATAACAAGTAATTTTTGGTTCTCTGTCATTATTGGGTTCCAACATTAAACAAAAATCTAATGTACCCTTCAGATATCTTAGAATTCTTTTGACAGCTTCCCAATGATACAAGGTTGGTTTACTAACATATCTTGACAGTAGATTGAGAGGTAATGCAATATCTGGCCTAGTCCAATTAGATATATAAAGGAGTGAACCTATAACTGATCTGTAAAATGTGTTGTCTTTAAACTCAGGGGAAGATTCATCAGTGTTTCTAAGAAAATCAGTTTGCATAGGGGTGTCACAGGTTTTGGCATTATTTAAGTTACATTTGTTTAGGAGTTCGATGATTTTATCTTTCTGTGTAAGTTTGAATCCCCTTTTAGTTTTGTTAATTTGCACACCAAGGTATTTATTCACTTTACCCAGAGATTTCAGTGAGAAGTGTTCATTTAACTTATTTACAAAGATTTCCCTGCTCTCTTTATGCTTTCCAATGTATAAAATATCGTCCACGTAAATTAATACAAATTCAATATGATCATTACTCTTTTTTACAAAGAAACAGTTATCAGCAGTGGTGGCGTTGAAATCCATGGTCTTAAGTACTTTTACCAAGCAATCGTACCATCTTTTGCCGGATTGCTTTAATCCGTACAGACTCTTATTTAATAACCAAATTTCGTTCTTATTAGTGTATTGACTGTGTGGTGCTCTTACATATATTTCCTTATCTAATTTTGCATGTAAGTATGCGGTCTGTATGTCATATTGGAATACGTCCAGATTGAGTGCAGATGCTACTACAAGGGCTGTTTTGACACTCTCTGTTCTCACTGTGGGTGAATATGTATCAGTATAGTCTTCTGGATATTTTTGTGCATAGCCTTGTGCAACTAGTCTAGCCTTGTATAAGGTATTGCCTCCTTCTAAGTTCTTAATTTTATAAATCCACCTGGTACCTATAATTGTTTTATCCTTAGGTGCGATCGCAGGTGTGAATACATTTAATCCTTGTAAACTTTCCATCTCTTTTTCCATAGCTAGTTCCCATTTTTCTCTTTCTTCATGTGGAAGTTTCAATACTTCTTCATATGTATTAGGTGTTATTTGTTCTCCATTCATATGCATTATGTAATCTTTGTATTTATTTGGTATTTGGTTTCTATTGTTTCTAATAGTTCTTTCAGGCTTGCTATGGTTATCATGCAAATATCTAGCTTCCTTTTTTGTTAATGTGTCTGTCTTTATTTTATGCTGACTATTAGTCCAAGTTTTGGTTTTGTTCTTACTTTTGTTAATATTTTGATTTTCTGTTGTTCCTTCCTCGCAAGATATCGTATCTTTACATTTATTAGGAAATATTTCATTAAGGTGCAATTTTGACCA